CTGAACCTTGTGTATTTTGGTTAGTACAACTTTCCACTGAATGTCACAGATACCCTCCCCCAAGCAAAAGAAAGGAATTAAAATTAATTTCAAAATGAGCTAGCAAACATTTTTGTGGTCTGCAGTGCTTGCACGTTTACATATTCATGTTTTTCCATCTTACATTTCACATAAGGAACATTTTTGGTAACATAACGTTACCTTGCCATATTAGAAATATCAAGAGGAATTCTAATTGCAACACCAAGAAGATATGCCAAGAAACACGAGACTTCCAAACCACTGGACCCAGCCTTTGGGTAAGGATCATAAACCACTTGCTAAGCACCACTGTACACCATGGAAGGCTGGGAAGACAGGTGGGGGTTAGGGGCTAGCTGTTTTTTTAAAGAATATACTGGGATTTAATTAGTAGACCATGGTAGGGCCCTGGAAAATATATTTACAACATTCCACTGGCAATTTTACTATCTGCACAATCAGCTGCCCAACTCAGCCATGAAAAAATGCTGTCATATATGATCGCCATCCATGCTTTCTGGAGGGCCAGTTCTATCTGTTATCAAGTGACACGCCTCAATTCACCTGGCTTGCACTGTTTACAAAACCTTCTAGAAGATTCTTGCTTTCCAGAGGGGTTGGGGGGGGTGGGAAGGTGCCAAGGAGGAGGAATCTGCAGTGTCCGCAGTCCAAAAGTCCTTGTTAGCTGGGAAGAATTACCACCAGGAGATGGTTGGAATGTTCAGAGTAAATACGATGGAGAGTGTGTTGTTGACAAAGTATAAACAAGACTTGGGTTTTGGTTTTTTTTTTTGTCTTATTTCCATGCCCATGATCTTTGCAGTCATCTACTGCCTAGGCAACAGGCTGGCATTTTAAGTTGGAAATATTGGATTTCTTCTCCAACATCCCCCTTGCTGTATCTTGGTAGGGAGGCAGCTAGTTAAGTCTATCTGTTACTGTGTACTGGCTGGTATTCTAAACCAGTTTGTCTAGGTTTCTTTCTAACGCTAAAATGACCCAAGACATAGATATTTAAGACCTTTTACTTTACATTGTGGCCACTCTGCCTGCAATGGGACTTAAGGTGCAGGGACCACTCATTCCTGAACCCCTAATTCCTCTTCCTCGGATGCACCTTTGATTAATAATTTTCTTTTTTCCTCACTGGTATTTTTGTCATGGGTCAACAATTCTAGTGAATGTTTCCTCTTAAATTTTTATGTATAGAATATTTCCCTATCCACGTGTGTATCTACGTATGTGTATCTTATCTAACAGCTGCCTTTTATTAAATGTCTGTGCTCTAGAAATTGATGACTTATATTTTTATAAGTATCTAATGAATGGTATTGTTATCCCCATCCTATTAGTAAAGAAAGAGAGGTGTGAAGTAAGCTTGCCAAAATTATACTGTTAGAAAAAAAAAAAGATTTGAAACATAACCCATGCACCTGTAGTATACTATGCAATGTTAAATTCTTTAAAATGGTTATCTGTGTGTGTGTACTTTATATATTCCACAGTGACTTTAATATTTGTTGAGTACCCATGGTGAGAAAGATTCTGCTGTGTTGGGATGTCATGTCTTATTAGTAACAAAGAAGAAACCAAGTCAGTAACAGATTAGGAAGCAGGGCCATGGACCGTAGGTGCACTGTTAGCTCCTCTTGTCTGGAATCTGAGTTTCCATAAGGTGCTTCCAGGATCATGGCTGACTCAACAACACTCAACCCACTGAGCCCAGTAACTGGGCTTTGAACATAAGCCTGTCACCAAGTCCTGAGGCCACATTGTCCTTTTGACATCTTTCAGCAGCTACTATATTAGCAGAGCTTGTTTACTTGTCATGCACCGGGAGTACTTTATACAGTTAAGTACAATACTTTACATTCATATATTATCTTGGGCCTTGGAATAATAGCAGCAGGGTGGTCATTATTATCCCTATTTTACACATAAATCTGAAGCTCATGGAGCTTAACTTGCCCAACATCACAGAGCTTTAAGCCACAAGAAACGGAAATGACTCTCTTCAAAGCCTACACCTTGTGCTTGCAAGGCAGGCACGGTGCCACTGAGCTAAATCCCTGGCCCCCCTCTACCTCCCATTTGGAACATATCCTGTTCATTAAGGGGATCTCTGTGGAAAATTTAGTAGATGAAGCCCTCACAATTTACTATCACACAGACTGAATCTCTTCTCAAAGAAATAAAACCTTAAATACTTCTGCCTAACTGCAGCCTTCCTATGAACAAATAAAAAACATACAATAAAGTAAAAATAGGCTCCATATGCACCTACCAAAACAGTTTACCTCAAGTAATAGCTCACATTCCTCAGTCCTCATGATTATTGACAATAATTGCTAGCTGGCCTGGAGCTGCCTTTGCAATGGACAAAACAAGTGGCAGTTGCCTGATCTCTAGTTAGGATCCTTGAAGTAGCCAAACCAGATCATCTGGTTAACAACAGCAAGGAACTTTTTATGGCCTGATTTATAAATCTCTCAATGAGCATTTTAAGTCAGTGCTAAATTTATAGTTTATAGAGTAACATAGTGTTTAAGAGATAATTCCTGACTCCTGGATTTTACAATCTAATAATCATCTGGTTTCACTACCTAAGTGGCTCAAATTAAACAACTGCCAAGCATGCATTTCATTTTGCTTTGTAGAGTTACTGTCTAAATAAAATAATTATCCGGTAGGAATAGTTGGAATGAAATAATCTTGAACTTTCTGGGAGTAGAAAACACTAGTTAGAAGTATGTTTTAGGGAGGTCAGAGATGGTTCTTTATCACAAAAGTAGTTAAAGCATAGATTCTGGAGCCAGATTATCTTAGTTCAAATCCAGTTTCACTAGCTGTGGGGTATCAGATAAATTACATGTCCTCTCTGGGCCACACAATTTCTACCATGCAAAATGGGTATAAAAATAATGTCTCTAAGCCAGGCAAGGTGGCTCATTCCTGTAATCCCAGCACTTTGAGAGGCCAAGGCAGAAGGATTGCCAAATTGGAGCCCAGACCCGACAATTTAGCAAGACCCTATCTCGAAATGAAAAATAAACAGAAATAGGGATATAGCTCAGTGTTGAAAGGCTTCTTCAATCCCAGGGTGGGGGGTGGGAGGAGAATTTACATATGAAAATCCCATATTGTCACCGTAGATCTCCATTAATATAGTCACTCCACTACTATTATAGTAGAGAGAAAATTTAGACTTTAAAGGAAAAGTGGATTGCTTCACCTTATTGCCTCATTTTATAGTCAATATAAGGTGTCAATCTGGCACCTTATTTAGTTGGAAAAGCCAGTATTTTTGCAGGTGGTGTCCACAAAATAATAAAAATCACATAGTTATACCATTTGGCAGAGCATTCAACATGGGCAAAGCTCAGCAGAGAGGCGGGTTTTCTCTGGGAATGCCAGTTGCAATTTACCCTGTCAGTCAACATGATGTTGACTGACAACATGATGTTTCCATAAAGGGTAAAGCTAAACACGATGAGGTCACTGAACAGAAGTGATACTTTAGACTTTGTCACTTGTATCACTTTTTAGATTGCAGAACTCAAGGTTAATGTCAGCCATTTGACTTTCTAATAACAAATGTACAAACATACTTTCTCTCTTCTCTGTAAGTTAGTTTTTAATTCAGCAACATAGAGAAGAAGAGAGAAAAAAAATCACTCCAGTCCTATTTCTGCTCTAAATAGAGAAACTGTGTTGGCAGGGAGTGAACCACTTCAAGAAAGAGAACTTCCCTGCCAGGTAGAAGAATCTATGTCTGATTGTATCCTGAAATCAGATATTAATAATTTTCGGGATTATCTTCTCTTCTGATCTCCCCTACTGAGGCAGATAATGGAAAACCGATAGTACAGGATAACTGCTATCTGTGTCTTCAGAGAGTCGTAACCTTTTCAAGAATTGTAACTCATGCATCACAACTGAATAAGATCTATGGCTATTGAACAAAAGATTTATCACCAAGATCAGCCAGTGGCCATTAGTGACAACAAGTATTTATAACTTTACAGCAAAAAAGGGTAGTCCAGAGACTGGATAATTCAGAGAAAGCAAAGTAACTGTTAGCACAATCCTTGAAGACCAGATAATACAAATGGTCAACCTAAATGCATAGCCACCTTACCAACAATCATTTGTAAGCATAGCAATTTGTTTAAAAGCATTAGGATTCATACGGGGATGGGGGGATGTGTGTGTGGGAGAATGGACCCGATTCATTGCCATCTGGTACTGGCCAAGGTCTCCTGGGGGCCATTTGCTTCCTTGGATGGGAAATGCTAAACCACTTGTATTCCTTTTGCCAAGAATAAACACATAAGCTATGGTGCAAAGTGCACTGGAAAATGATGTTACCGAAGTACTGCAATTGACACTGTAAGATTCAAACAACAAACCGGCCCGAGTCTCCTATTCTCAGCTCATCCAAACCCCAATAAAATGTTTTCAAGAAACGACTAATACTCCTTTATTCTAACATCCAATACCACCTAAGGATGTGCCCTCAGTCCTATGATAGTATACGGACTTTCAATTTCTCCCATCAAAGTGCATGTGGCAAACGGCTTCCTAGACCAAACGCTTAAGCCAACTAAAGTCTGTAAAACTCCGCTTTAGGAGTCTGGGCAGTTTTGATTCCATTCCTCAGGGCTCCGAGCGGAGGCCAGGCCAGGCTCTGGGGGGAGCCGCTGAGACTTGAACCGTAGGAGTGAGAGACGCCCTCTCGCGCATAGTGGTGAAGTCCAACTTCTCACCACGTCCCTTCCCCGACCGGTTTCAGAGCAGATGGACGGGGATCAGAAAGGCTGTTTTTCTCCTCGCCTGCCCACCTCAGTGACCCAGACCCACCCCGCTCTCTCCAAGCCCGTCGCACAACGGGCCCGTCAGTACCAAAAGTTATCACGGTGGTACACACGCAGGCACGGCCGCCAGCGTCCAGAGGAAGCTCGGGCACGAGCTACTCTTACCTTATACTTCATTTCCGCTGCGTTGAAATAAGCCGTGGTCCTGCACTAGTTACACAGCATTAAGCACGGGAGTGTCCGCCCCTCCATGGAGCGCGGTGCTGAAAGCAACTGAGCTCGACCCCCGCGCAGCGCGCCTTCCCGGGTATCTGAGCTCACTGTTTTGACTGAGGCTGTCCGAACGCGGACTTATTTGCATACCACCCCATCATTGGCTGGTGAGGGAAGGTAATGGTTAAGCCCCGCCCATTCCTTTAACTTCTAAAGAAAACTCTCGACAAAGACTTAGTAATGCGATCATTTCTTTTCACATTATCAAAAGGGCAGAAAATAAAACAGAAGTTGGGGAACTGTCCTGGACCTCTGCAACCCCCCCATCCCATAAAATTTAAAAAAATTTTTTAAAGAGAAGCCAGCAAAAGGAGGTACATTCCTTTTAAGATTAACCTAAATTTTAAAGAATCCAAATTCACAAAAGCAGTCTGACAGTCTCTCTTCCTGTGACCTAGCAACTAGTTCATAAACCCATTTCATTTCAAAGCCATTTCACCTCACAATGTCTACATGAGACGAACCCCGGGAACAAAAGGTTTTCTGTCTCCAGGCCCCTTTTTACTAACTACCCCTGCTGATTCTCTCTCTCTCTCTCTCTCTGCTGATTCTCTCTC